CTTCCCATCATTGATTAAACCTTCATGTCTGGGAAGGTTACACTTGCACATAGGCTGAGCCAAAACAAAGAGAGAGATATGGATAAATAGCTTTATTTGCCAGCTCTACAATTGTCTTGACTAAGATAAATGGTATTGCATCTGTTCCGCTATTCGAAACATCTTCATTCTATTAGAATGGGCTGTTACAACTTTCTGAATTGTGATCTTTTTATATTGAGGGTACTGGCATAAATCTTTGTTTTTTGATCTTTTTCATTCTTATTCCATGAAGGTCTGTGAAAGATCTCTTTCTGGTACCGGGGCCGGCCCAAGTGCTGCAGCTGCTACACAGTTTGTAAGAGCCGAGATGCTTCCATCTGGATATTTAATTCGGCCATGTGAGGGTGGAGGGTCAATTATTCATATTGTTGATCACCTCAATCTCAAGGTTAGATGCTCATTAATCGTTGTACACTAAAGTTTCTTTGATGTTCAGAACTTGATTAGTAACTCGACTTCCATTTCCAGGCCTGGAGTGTGCCAGAGGTGCTTCGGCCACTTTATGAATCACCAAACATTATAGCGCAGAAAATGACTATTGCAGTAAGTACGACTCCTTAATGTCCTATGTAGTTTAGGCTTTATAAAGGCCGTGTGAAGATTATCTTTGACTAAAGAGCTAAGTAGGACCAGATTTTCTACTGATTTTGCATTTAATAATGTTGCCCATCCTTATATTATATTTTACTACCCCAGATGCAATACGGAAAATCTACCACTTGGCCTTTTTAATTCTTTTTCCGCCTTCCGAAATGGTTACTGACTGTTCTTTTTTGATTTTGTTATGAAAGGCACTGCGATATATCAGGCAGATAGCTCAGGAGACAAGTGGTGAGATAGTATACGGTCTTGGCCGGCAACCAGCTGTTCTACGCACTTTCAGCCAGAGATTAAGCAGGTAGCTGCCACTATATTCTGAGCATATTTTGATTTGTATCTAGGGACATGTAATGCAAAATAATGAAAGC